TTGTCCCTCAGTTCATTGAAAAGCAAGGTTTGTGCTAATATCAACTGGAAAAAAATTTTTTGCCCATGCCTTGTACCCTGAGCAACTACTTTAAATATAACAACGTGCAATGTATTAACTATTGTTATTTTCTCATTACTGTTATAATGTTTAGCTCTTCTTTTTTTCCATAAAATTAAAATAAAAAGCCAATTGAACCATGGTAATTTCTGTGCTACTTGTGAATCGAGTTTGTGTCTGGCTCTTGTGTTACTCTGACTATGCCCAGTTCACTGTCAGCTGCCAATGTTGCAGACATTTGTGATGCAAAAGCAATGACCCCATGTGCACTTATAGAAAGGGTGGGCACCTGTGCACTTGGGCTGACCAAGACTCAGAAAAGTGAGCCATGTCTCTCAGGTGGCTCTGGGAGACAGGTGCAGGTCCCGGGCTCCTTGAGCCAGGGGCCCTGAGCCTGTTGTTTCCTGCTGTGACTGATACGTTTTGTCAAAGCAAGCGTTTGGGTCCTGTCCACTTCCCTTTTTCTGGTGGGACTCCAGACCGCACCAAGCTCTTTGGTTCCCCTTGGCTCACATCCACCAGCCCTGTTTCCTCCTACACCTGGGAGTCTTAGAACAGTGGTGAGAGGAGTGGACAGCCGTGGTAGCTCCCTGTTCTCACACATTTGGCTTTCATTTATCCTTTAAAAGTCTGTAGAGGTCTAGATAGACTTGGGCTGGTTTTTCCCAAGCCTTGCCTATTGAATTGGTCTCTCCCAGAACCTCTGTGGCAGTTGTGAATGACCACTTTTTATAAAAGCTTCTGTTCCTGGGAATTCAGCTCTCCTTGATAAGCCTCTGCCTGATGAACAGAAGCCTCTGCCTTGAGAACTTTTGTTTTTTTCTGTATCTGCAGCAGGAGCTACTGGTTGGGAGCTCCATAATGGATCTAAAACTGAATGGCCCAGGTTTCAAGTTGAGAAAATCTCAGGGGAAATAATTTTGCCTCTAGGATATAGCTTTTTCAGATTTTTAAAAAACTTTGTCCCAATTACCATAATGCTTGTCTGAGGAAACCCAAACTTTGTCCCAATTACCATAATGCTTGTCTGAGGATTATAATCATATTTGGTTACTTCTTGTAGCATTTTTTAAAGTCCTTTGTTTGTACATAAGTCCCTGAGCATTTTTATAAACAGCTAGAACTGTGTGGTGTGACTTTTCTTGAATCTTTCAGGCCAAACCAGTTTTGCTCTGAATGCTTCTGTGGGTGATAACTCTGACACATGAGGCCAGAACCTTATGTGGCAAACTCTGTATTAGAGTTAAAATTCATCTATGGGTTTCCCAATGTTTTTACTCCGGGATAATACACTCTTCACACAGAAAATTCACCCTTTTTATTGTGGAATGCTTTTCTTCCCTTCTGTATATGTCCCCGGTGAAATTTCTTCCTGTGAAGGTCTCCATCTTTCACACTTTGCACTCTGCGCAAGCTTACTCCTTCAGGCTAAAAATTTTTAGTCCAAGGATTTCAGGTCCTAGATCAGGTATCAGCGTGTTGGCCTAGCCCCAGTCTCCTAAACAAGTGGATGGTGAAAAGCTTAAATAAAAGAGAAGTAATGATTTCAGGGCTCCAGGAGGATCAAAACCCTTTCATATAATTCAAGATTCCCTAGGGTGTGAGACAAAGAACTTCTCTGGGAAACCCCTATTTATTTGGTTTTCAAGCAAAGGAAAGGGATACTGAGGAAAGTGTCAGAAGTGAGCAGGACCTGGGAATCCACCTCAAAGACTTCTGCAAAAGGTAAATTTTGCCAATAAAGAAAACTCTTATCTCCAAGGTTGGCTGCAGCCATCCTCTTGCCTGAGCATCTCAAGTGCTAGGGTTACAGGCTTGTGCCACCATGCTTGTTTGCCCAGGGTATTGTTGTGTCACCAGTCTCACATTTAGGACACAAAATGTTTACATTTATTGAAGTTATTCGGTTTCTGTACTTGGCATAAAATTATTCTGCTTATTTCCCCTTCCTTTCCTGGACCTTTCCCATTAGTAGACGATCTATCTCCTTGTTCCCTTCAGTCCATCCTTTATTATGCTCTGCACAGTAACTCCCCGACTTATGAACAGATTCTATTGGAAGAAAACGTTGATAAGTCAAATCCATCTGTAAGATTGACAAAGAGAGTCTTGTCCACTTTGCTACAAATATTCAATGTATGTTGCTTTGTACTTTCTCACAGTCCCGTCTACATCACCATTGCTTTTCCTCTTGCTTCTGAATATGCTGAGAGCTGTTCTCTTTTCATACAGTGAGCATTGATTGCACTGAAATTCCTCCCAGGACTGTTTCCAGGTGGCCCAAAATTTACAGACTTGTGTCTGTGTTCCCATTCATTTCCAGGAATGTTTGTTTTTCTACCTTGATTTCTTATATAACCCAGTGGTTCTTTAGGAGTATGTGATTACTCTCCAAATGCCTTTTCTGTAATTTCTTCTGTCATTGATTTCTATTTCCACTCTACAGTGTTCTGATACTATACAAGGGATGATTTTGATTCTTTTATTCATTTGAGCAGCCTTTGTGGACTAGCGTGTTCTATTTTGGAAAAAGTATCATGCACTGCAGAAAAGAATGTCTATTCTTCAGTGGGATGCAACGCTCTGTAAATATCTATTAAGTCCATATGCCAGGGTGGTGTTTGTCAGTTAAATTTCTGTATGATTGTGTATTAATTGATCTTTTATGTTCAGCAGTATGTTTTATGAAGCTACATGCTCCAGTACTCAAAGCATATTTATAAACACTATTTTTCTTGTTAGATTGTTCTCCTAACTAGTTTATAGTAACCTTTGTCTCTTGTAATTAGATGTACGTTCAAGTTTACATTGTCTGATATTTAACTTGCTATCCCTGCTTGTTTTGGGGGACCTTGTGCATGAAAAGTTTTTTACCTTTTATTTTTAGACTATGCATAGTGTTTTCTGTTAGAGTTTTTGAATGCAACATACTACTGGATTCTGTGTTATGGGTGCAATCTGCCAATCTATGTCTTTTAATTGGAGAACTTAGGCCATCAATATTGAGAAATATTGCTGAGATGTGTTGTTTAATTACTATCACGGTATTCTTACTCTGTCAGTAACTTCTTAGCTTTCCTTTTCTGTCATATTGGTTGTTTTTTAATAATTGGCGTTCCTTGTTTTCATTTATTCTGGATTTTTAGCTTTGCAGACACTAATCATTTAACAACAAAGTTCTGGTCCTGTGAGTAGTTCATTAAATGAATTCATCACTAAATGTGGGATTGTTTAGTGTGTGTACATGACAACTTTCAAAGCCAAGAAGTGGTGAGAGGGGATTTCAACTTGATGACTGGTTTTATTTGCATAACTCTTGTTTGCATTACTATAGTATACAGCAGAACATAAAACACTATACAGAAAAAGGACATTGAGATGCTATCAATCTGTACAAAAGTATACAAAAAGAAGATGGACCATATGGCTGAGTGGTAGTTCATAAGTCAGAAACAGTGTAAAGTCAGTTATAAGTCCAAAGAATCATTAAATCAGGTAGCTCATTAAACAAGCAATATCTGTATTAGTTTCCAGTGTTTCTGCCTAAAATATTCCTGAGTACTTTTTGCAGTCATTCACATATCTCATGAGCTAGTCTTCTTCATGAAATGTCCATATTTTCCACCTGTTTTGAAAGAGAGCTTTGCTGGGTAAATTAAGTTATATTGGAAGTTACTCACCATCAGCACATGCCATACATCATTTCAAGCCCCTCTCTTTGAGGTTTATGGTAAGAATTTTTTTTATTCTAATTGGTTTGCCTTTATAGGTGAATTTTTTTTCTTTTTCTCTGCTCCAAATTTTTATTGTGGTATATAGCTGTCTAGCAGTACAAAAAGGATATGCCTTGGTGAATTTTTTTTATAGTTCTTTAGTTATTTCTACCCTCATTTCTATTTTAACACTTTTCTCCTATATGAATATTTTTCTTTTTGGTACTGGGCATTGAAAAATATTTTTCTACTATAGTTTTTTAAAACACATTAATAATTCTATCTTGGTTATAGTTTTTCCATAACTGCAGAGAGTCTTATGCTGCTCTTTTAGTGTTTTCTAGTTCCTGCTGGATGGTTTTCTCTTCCTTTTTTTAGGTCTCTTTGAGTACTTCTGCAAAATTTACCATTTCTCCTCCATTTTAGACTCAATGGTCAGTCCTGCCTGAGGCTCTCCCTAGGCTGAGCGTATAGGCCATGATGTGTGCTGGAGGTTGAGGAGAGATACTCAGTCTCATCACCCTCCCTGGGCTGGGTACATTACCCTAGCTGGGGCTGGATGCAGGGCATTCAGTTGCTTTTTCCATCCCCACATTTCCCTTTTTACTGCACCCTAGAAATTTTTATATCTTTTTAACTGGTAAGTATCTCATGGCAGTGAGCTATAAAATAATACTTCTTCACTAATCTAATTTCTTAGACTCTCTCCAATGAATAATGTGATTTTTTTATTAATATTTTAAATTGCCATTCATAAATTTTCATTGCTTTAAATTACCATTCACAAATTTTGCTTTGTGTTTAATTATAGTTTTGTCTATGAAACTAGTATGAAAATACAGTCAGAGGAGGAAAGGATATACTTTTGATCCTCTTTCAGGGAAAGTCATTAGATGTTCATCTACCCCTCAGATGTTCATTTTATCCCTCATTTGATTAAGTAGGCTCCTTCCCTAAAACATGCTTTATAGACATTGTAGAAATGAAACTTGCTAAATTGCAAGAGAGCCAGTCAGTATTCTCATTCTGCTATTTCTGTAGCAGTAACTTCCCATCTAGCATAAAATTCATGTGTGACAAATGCAGTAGATAAAAACTAAGTGTTTGATGTCCAAGACATGAAGTAACCATTTATGGGAAACTGTGTCATTTGAACTTATCAGTGGATTCGATATCTGTGTTATGAGACTCACTCTTCTTCCTGGAAATATATCTCTGATGATTTAGATGAAAGTGACCTTTGAAGATGTGACTGTGAATTTTACTGTGGAGGAGTGGATTTTATTGGATCCATCTCAGAAGAAGCTCTACAGAGATGTGATGTGGGAAAACTTTAGGAATGTGACTGCTATAGGTAATGAAGATACCATTTCTCATTTACACAGTCAGAGAGCATGGGTTATTGCTCATCAGTGCAGTTTATTTATTTGGAATATGGAAATATTTTCAAGAATACCCTGGTCATTGTCACATTAGATCATGAATCTAAATATAAGCTAATAATTTCTATCTAATGTAGTAACTCATCATTACATTTCTTTTTCTACACTTCAGAAAGAAACTGGGATGACCAGCAAATTGAAGATGAGCACAAAAATTACAGGAAAATTCTAAGGTAATGTGCACTGACAAGCATGTCCCTCAAAAGTCAAAAATATGAAAACCAAGCAGACTGTACAAATAAGGCCATATTCAAAAAATTACATGGTGAGACAGTCATGGTAGCATATGTCTTTAATCCCAGCACTGGGGCATCTGATGCAGGAGGACTGCCAGGAGTTGAAGACAAGTCTGAGCTATTTAATGAGTCTGAGGCTGACTTGGGCTATGTAAAGAGAATTTGTATCAAAAATGTTTGTTTTTATAAAAAGAAGCCATGTTCAAAATTCTTTAATGCCATAAAATTTCTCAAAAGATACATACATGTTTAGTATCTAGAATGTGACAGTAAAACACTTAAAGAATCTCAATATCTGAAATGTAGTTAATATGAACATTATGTCGTAAAAGGGATTATGTAAAGCATAATAATTAATAAATTACTTTTGATGCACAAGATCATAAATTTATTGCATGAAATTCTAGGCATTAGATACATATAAAAAATTATATTTAGTTGAGAGCCAAGTGCAAGATCTCTGTTTACATAGATATACAAATCCCATTTCATTGTGCTATACATTTACCATCTGTATTCTTCCAAAATTAAAGTAATCATATTATACTGATACGTGCATTTCCTTGTTTTAGTACTCAAATTTATAAAACTGAAACTCTGGAAACATCCTAGATGTCCAGTTACAGAGGAATAGAAAAGAAAAAATGGGATAGCTTGTGCAGGACTGAGCATACTGGGAATCTGAACCACATTCATGCTCAGCCTTGGTCAACTTTATAATTAATAAGATTCAGTAGAAGAAGATAATTGGGAGTGTAGCTCAGTGATAAGCTTCTGTGTTCAGTCTCCAGCACTGTAAACCTGGTGTAATGTACACTCGGTGGAATTGTACTCAGCCATAAAAGGGGTGAAATGATGTCATTTGCCAAAAAATGGATTGACCTGGAGACCATGTTACATTAAATAAGATGAAAATAAAAAGGTCAATATTATATGCTGTATTTTGTACAAAAAATGCAAGATACGAGATTTAAAAAAATAGAGGAAACATGGTAGAAAAAAGAAGCAGACATTTTAGAGAGAGGAAATAGGGAGGGGAAGAGTCATGAAGAGAAAGATATGAAAAATAATTAGCATATGGTAGATACATACACCAATTGTTCCAAGTGAAATAAGGCATTATGCATTTCAAGCATATCACTTCCAACTCCCCCAAATGACTTCTGTTTTGGAAAACACTGTTTCCAAGCCATCATCTAGAGTTTATTGTAAATTGATGATTAAATATGGGTAGGAGGCATCAAATCAGGTCTCCTTTTAGTAAACCATTAATACAAAAATACTTTTAAATGGGACTGATGGGGTTTTTTTCTTTGACAGAAATGCAGTTGTAGATAAATGCTGTAAATATAAATTATGGTATCAGCATGAAGCAATGCATGTTAGGACTCCTGATATAAATGTGCACACAAAACTCCTTGGTACAAGACCAGATGAAAGCCTTGAATGTGGAAAGCCTGTGTTTCGTTCCTCATCACCAACCAAGCCCATCATACATAACACTGGACTCAAATCATACGAAGTCCATGGATTTGAACAGAAGCTCTCTAATTGTAACAGACATGGGAATACCTCCGCTGGCTTACAGTCCATTCAGAAACTTGCAAAGACAAATCCTGAAGAAAAACCCTATGGATACAAGCAATGTGGAAAATCCTTCTCTGATTACAGTGAAGAAAATAATTCTGAAGAGAAATCCTTTGCATATAACCAAGAGGCTAGAGCCTTCAGTGCACCCAACTATTTTCAAATCCAGACAGGAAATCATAATAGGGTGAGCACTTCTATACATGTACAATGTGGCAAAGGTTTGAATTCTTACCATGATGTTCAGAACCATGAAAGAACTCACACTGAATCCAAATCTGATGTACATCAACACCATTGGAAATCCTTAAATAATAGCACATCATTAGGCAATCATAAAATAACTCATACTGGGGGACAGCCCTATGTGTGTAATCATTGTGGGAAAGGTTTCAGCACACAGAAGTATTGTCAAAGTCATGAACAAACTCACAGTGGGGAGAAATCTTACATATGCAAGCACTGTGGGAAAGCTTTCAACAAACAGAGGCTTTGTCAAAGACATGAGCAAACTCACCTCGGGAAGAAATACTACACTTGTAAGCAATGTGGGAAAGCTTTTGGCACAAAGAGTCATTGTCAGAGACATGAACTGACTCACAGTGGGGAGAAACCTTATGTATGTAAGCAATGTAAGAAAGCTTTCAGCACATATAGTTCTTGTCAAAGACATGAAAGGACCCACACCGGGGAGAAACCCTATGTATGTGACCAGTGTGGGAAGGCTTTTGGCACACACAGCGTGTATAAAATACATGAACTAACTCATGGTGGAGAGAAACCCTATGTATGTAACCAATGTGGAAAAGCTTTCAGCACATGCAGTGTATACAAAATACATGAAAGAATTCACACTGGTGAGAAACCCTATGTATGTACACAATGTGGAAAAGCTTTCAGCAGGCAAAGTCAATGTAAAATACATGAAAGAGTTCACAGTGGGGAGAAACCCTATGTATGCAAGCAATGTGGGAAAGCTTTCACCACCCACAGATGTTGTCAAGAACATAAAAGGACTCATACTGGGGAGAAACCTTATGCATGTAAGCAATGTGGGAAAGCTTTTAACAAACATGGTTCTTACCAAAGACATGAAAGGATCCACACTGGGCAAAAACCCTATGTATGTAGCCAATGTGGAAAAGCTTTCAGCACACGCAGTGTATATAAAATACATGAAAGGTCTCACACTGGGGAGAAACCCTATATATGTAGCCAGTGTGGTAAAGCTTTCAGTAGGCATAGTCAATGTAAAATACATGAAAGAATTCATACTGGAGAGAAGCCTTATATATGTAAGCAATGTGGGAAAGGTTTCACTACCTATGGTAATTGTCAAAAACATGAAAGGACTCACACTTGGGAGAAACCTTACACGTGTAAGCAATGTGGGAAAGCTTTCAGCACACATAGTTATTGTCAAAGACATGAACAAACTCATACTGGAGGGAAACCCTATGTATGTAAGCAATGTGGGAAAGCTTTCATTACACATAGTCATTGTCAGAGACATGAACTAACTCACAGTGGGGAGAAACCCTATGCATGCTCACATTGTAGGAAAGCTTTCAGCACACTTAGTTCTTGTCAAACACATGAAAGGATCCACACTGGGGAGAAACCCTATTTGTGTAAGCAATGTGGAAAAGCTTTTGGCACACAAAGTGTATATAAAATACATGAGAGGACTCACACTGGGGAGAAGCCCTATGTATGTAAGCAATGTGGTAAAGCTTTCAGCAGGCATAATCAATGTAAAATACATGAGAGAATTCACACTGGAGAGAAGCCCTATGTCTGTAAACATTGTGGGAAGGCTTTCACCACACACAGATATTGTCAAGAACATGAAAGGACTCATACTGGGGAGAAACCCTACACATGTAAGCAATGTGGGAAAACTTTCAGCACATACAGTTATTGTCGAAGACATGAAAGAACTCACACTGGGGAGAAGCCTTACTCATGCAAAAAATGTGGGAAAGCTTTTACCAGACACAATCATTGTCAGAGACATGAAAGGAATCACAGTGTAGAAACCTTGTATATGTAAGCAATATGAAAAAACCTTCAGTAATTCTAACAATCATCATAGACAGTAAAATATTCTAAGGTTAGAAATGAACTCTGAATATATAACTGAATATATATCACTTGCACTAATACAAAAGCAGAGTGCAAAAAAGCCTTTCTTTGTGTGTAATATTAAAAATCTTTCAGCACACAGATATTACATACCTGAGAGAACTGAAACTTGAACAATGTGGAGAATGTTTTTTTTTCATGAAAATTTATGAGAGGGCAGCTGTATGTATGTAATAAATATTGGATAATTCATTTTTCTACTTTCCTTGAAAATCACCAGAAAATCTCCACTGAAAAGAAAACCTAATAATGTGTGAAAACTTTTTATGATTGTCATGAGAAAAAAATGCACAAGCTGAAAATGAGATTTAAGAGAAAGCTAGGGATCAATGACAGAGACACAAGAGTGATATATTAGGAACGAGATATACTGTTTCAAAGCACACATTCAGAGACAGACTTGTTCCAGTATTTTAATGGATTGATGTACTGATGAGGTTGGAAAGTGCATAATGTTATGTTCAATACAATGCCCTTTGCATTCAAGTCTTCAGTACATGGTCTTCAATGAGCATTTTACATGCAAACAATTGACTTAGATTGGGGAAGCTAAGTTTATTCATATAATGAAATGTTACTGAGTCTTAAAAACTTTTGTTTGTGACAATATAAATTAACCAAGAGGTCATTATATGAAGTGTGCATATAATGGTAATATATAGGTAATTAAACTTTATATTTGTTTTTTTCTACAGTTGACAACTTAGAGAAGCAGAGAGTTTAGTGATGGTTGCCATATGTGTTAATGGGAAAGTTGAGAGATGTTAATGAGAAAACTGTTTTGTAGAATACTAAGTAACATAGGCCCTATGGTGATTACAGTAATTGATAAAGTAGCATTACAGTTTGCTAGCAATTGTCTTTTAGTATTTTCTCCATACACCCAAAAGGTAAATATCTGAAGTGATGTAAATGCTACTAATGAAGAATGTGATCATTTCACAATATAAACAATAACACACTGCAGATACACTGTCAATATGTTTTTGTTATTTTCTGTTTAATGAAATGAAAATAATTAAATTTCAGAAAAACAATTCGACTGGTTTCATGATGTGTCCAAAGAAATTTCCTTTCTTTGATTTTTATAAATGCGATTTAGTTTGTAATGTACTTTTTCTAAAAATATTCAGTATTGGTTGGTCCAAAAGTTGTGGTATGTTAAGCTAAAAGTATTATATATTTTAGGTAAAGTAACACTTAATTTGTTAAAAGTGTAAAATAGTTGTTTGAGCATATACTTTTGAAAATACTGGCATTATCATTAGTTCATCTGATTTTGACAAAGTTATTATATACATGTTCAGAACACTCAACATTTTAAAAGTACTTAAGCTTGTTTTTCTGATTTAATAATTCACTTAACAATATGTTTTTAATATATATCCATTTTCCTACCAATGTCTTGAATTTATCCTTATTTATAGCCATATCATGTTCCATTATGTACAGATACCATATTTTCTTCCTGCATCTGGTAAGGTGATAGAGGAGAACATGGAGAGAGAGTTTTGTGGCAAATGAGATGGGATCAGGGAGCCAAGAATGGGAAGAAGAGAATGTAGAGGTATTTGATGTCATATACCAACTACCTACAATGAATATTATCTTTCTATGTCACTACCATGAAATAAATAATGACAATAATATTAATGAGAATGAAATGGGTAAGGAGATCTGGAGCTGGTTAAAGGTGATGGGTGAGGAGATGCGGGAAAGTCAGAAGAATCAAAATATTAAATGCATATGCCTGCTCCTTAAAATGAATTGGATGATACACTTCAAGCATATACCTAATACATAAATAACTAGATATACTTCATACTTTATTGTGCTTCCTAAATATCTATTAGCAGATTTGTTGAAAATATGTAAAGATGTCTGTGGGTCTCTGAGAACCAACCTATATATTTCACAATTCTTTAGTTTTTAATTCCACATAAACTTTTATCTTTGTCATAGACTCTGTCTAAATGCTTTGACACTGACTAATGTAAGCAGTTGTCCATTTCATGCACTTTCATTGGTTATACATGGCAGTGATTGAGGGAAAGAAAGTAGGAATACATATGCACCTGGACATGTACATCTATCAAGCTGCATTAGCAAATGCAAATGCGTATGTTTTTGGTATCTGAATCCTGGCATGGCTGTTGTTATACCATACTGTTCACCCAAATTTATAGACCTTGCCTTAGTGCATGTAGCTGACCATTCCAAAATTCTATAGCTTTCTTCATTCGTGAGTTATTCCTTAGAGATGTGAAACAGAAGATCCAGTATCAAGCCATTGACAACTGAAATATCTAATAAGACATTGTTTATGTGATGACTTCTAGCCCAGTTTCCCCAAGGCAAAGAAGTAAATAAGGTGTCTTATTCATGTAAATATAAATTATAATATATATCTATAGATATACATTTCAGAATTCTTAGCTCATGACAAAAATAATTTCCATACCCCACTTGCATATACCATTACCATGGGAATGAGGTTCTGAAACATGTATTTTGGGATACCTAGACATTCATAACACAGAAAACATTGTAAAGTTGCATTGTATATTGAGCAGCATATGGATTGCATAAGGTTCCATGTGTTCTCCAGGAGGTATGTTGATAAATAATACACAGTACTAAAAGTATTTTGAGGACAAATTTAAGCAATCTTTTCAGTTAACATTTAGAAGATAAAATACAATCATACAGGTCATGAACTGAATTAGGCACAGAATATTACTGACAGAAAGAAAAGTTTTGATCACCACTTATTTTGAGATCATATAGCTGAATTTAAAAGTAAATGTTAGAAAGGCTCAAAAAATGATTTCCCACAGCAGCAGATTTCCTGCTGCTTTCTGGGAAGATTAAGCTCGTACAAACATCCAAAAATTGTTACAGAAGATAGAAAAAAAAATGTTGAGGATGCAGTTTCTGAGTTCATCAGAGGATCAGCATAGAATCTGCAATATGATTGGAAGCTTCAGTTTCACAAATGCAGGCTGGTGTGATACATTTCCAAATGCATATAGCTTCCCCATTTGCCACTTCTTTTCCAAAAAGGACAGACGTTTCAGCATGGTCACATCATCACTCAGGCCAAATACCTGGCTTATATTAAACCAGCTCCCTTAACTTCTCCATGAATCAGTTCTCCATTCTTGAATACTGTAACCCAATTGTCATTTTGCATCTTCCCTTACCACCTAATAATTAATACAGTGATGTCTACACTACTTCATCTTAGAAATGAGAACATCCAATTAGATTTTTAAGGAGTATGTCTCAAGTGTGACCTTTTTACATGTTTTAGATCTAATTTGTAAATGTGTGCTGAAGGCCAGAATTATTTCTTTAGCAAGAATTACAAAATTTCAAGTCTACTTTCAAAACCTTGTAAACAGACACTTAGAAAGTGAGTACATCCAATATGTATGTCATTGTCCTACATTGTGTTTTGATTCTTTCTAAATACCTTTCAAGGTGCAGTTCTGATTTACTGTGGTTTTACCAATGAACAACTTCAATCTAGAGAATTTTTAAATATCTCCATTTCTCATAGCTTGGGTACTGTGGAGAAGCAAAAATGTATGTGTATATTGCAGGATGATACTTAAACCCTGTAGTGGGCTGTCTATGCCACCCAGAAGATTTAATTCTTTTATATATCATCCTTTCTTAAAGAACTTCTGTGCACTCAACTTCAGTATGCTCTCAAGGTTTTCCTCCCAAGATGCTGCTTTCTTGACCTTCTTGACCTTCAATCAAGAATCAGAGTACTTTTCTATATTATCTGTCCCTATATCAGAGTGTCATAAAGTAACTAAAAAGAATCTCAATATAACTAAAAAGAGTAAATATAATCTCTACACATTTTAAAATAAGAAATTTGAAGAGTTTGACATACAAATGTAGTGAAGTCTTCTACACCATACATTGCTGAAGTGCAAGTAAGCATTGTGAGATTAAAAAGCTGTTATGCTAATTATAACCCATTATCATGTTGATAACATCATTCTATTATTCAAGGAAAAGCATTCAGATGTTCCTCACATTTTAGTGGTCCCTTAGCTCCGGGGTTATCATTAGATACTCAGTTTCCCATACAGAAACTTTAGGGAACATATTAAATCTCACAATGGGTTATTGATTTGAAATATCAGATTTGAGACTGCTGAAAATCAACAGGATAATGATATCTCTAGTTAATACTGAATTTCCACATTAGTATGAACTGAAACCTCAGTTGTCGTATCTATTTATTGTTTTATTCTGTCAACTTCATAGTGTGATCCAATGAGATTTAATCTTTTGCTATACATTTTCTTCACTTAAAATAATTTTCTCATATCACACAAACATATCAAACATTCAAAATAATAATGACATGTTTGAGTGAAAAAAATCAATAGTCTGGAAATATTCAAAGTGTTTGTCTACTGAGTGACTCAGTGGAGTCTAATAGATTGATGTGAATATCATCACAGTCATATAAGATGTGACTGTGATGAATACATTCTTTGATTGCTAAGACATCCTTATGAAGCCCTTGATATACTTTTTGAACAAGAGTATTATAGGAAAAGCAGTATCATGAAGAGCATAATTGCATAGAAAATGGGTGGATTGGATACTGTGTAATTTTAATGTATACATCAGTACTATTTTCACTGAAGCATTTGGCTACTCTCTTCTTTCCTAATTTTGACTTTCTATGACTCATATGCCATGACTCATGAGTCGTTCACTCATCCGGTCATTCCACCTATCTCCATGTAATCTGCTAAGGAGAATCTTTTGTGACTTGATCCCATCATGTCCAAAATGTACTCATGTTATTTTGGATCCTATTATGAGATGTCTTATTCTATGCTCCTCTGCTGGTTGAACTGAAATAATTCAAAATAAAGGAACAGTTCTAGATTATTTCTGCCTTCTGTGAAGCTCTCTAAGCTTCCTGCCATATAAGAATTGCAAAAAAGTTTGATTCTCTAGAAAAAGGTGATAGAACTGGAGAATACAGTGGGAAATGACTTCAGTGACAAACCATAAAATTTCCACATTACCCAATGTGTATACAAATGCCTTGATATCTTCATGTATTGAAGTAAAAATTGAAGAAGACTGTGACACACAGACAGGAAAAAGGACCACAAAAGTCTAGTCAGTCAGAGGTAGCATCTAGGACCTGTGCTTGATCACTTCCTCTTTCTGAGCCTGAGCTTTTTCTTCTTTAGAGTAAGGATGACCACGTGAATAATCTGACATGTTAGGTAATACTAGAATGTTCTTTGGAATCTTAAATGTCAAGGAACTAGACCCTTACATTGGTAAGGCAAGGCCAAGTGTGCTGTCCTTGATTCAAACACGTAATGTTATCTGATAGATAGAGAAGACTGAAAAAACTATCAGTGCCTTGATTTGGATGATTATGTATACATCCTTCACCATGATCAAATAATTAATTGTGTATTACATGTTCACTAACACCATGTTTGTAGACTCCAGGATCCACCTTCTTGACCATCTTCACTTTACTTCTGACCAAAGACTTTGATAGTTGTTCTGTCCAACATTTGTGTGACAGAATCATCAATAAGGAATGCACTGATAGATTTTGTTAACCAACAATTTGGAATTCTTGTAAGCTTTTTTCACACATCTGCTGAATTGAAAAAGATACATAAAAATTATTATGTTTCCTTCCCCAAAAACTAGTGCAATAGAGAGCTTCCTGAAACTTAAAGGATTGAAGTATACCACTTCTTCACCCCTATAATCTGGGTTTAATTTACACAATGACATAAATGATTACCTAGGCTTTTATAGGCACAGGATTCATAATTCTCTCAGACCCTTCACAATCTATATGCAGGCAAATTTTAAGTATGCCATCTCTCTGTGCTTAGCATACCCATATGCCTTTGCTTCAAACTGTAGTCCCTATTATCAATACCAGACCACTTCCAGATAAACTATGTAGTTCCAACAATTGCAGGTAAATTACCAACCCTTCCCTGATCACAGTCATCTTCACACTCT